TGTGGTACGCGGCCTCTCACTGTTGTGGCCTCTCCCATTGCAGAGCACAGGCTGCGGACGCGCAGGCTCAGCGGCCATGGCTCACGGGCCTATCCGCTCCACGGCATGTGGGATCTTCCCGGACCGGAGCACGAACCCGTGTCCCCTGCATTGGCAGGCGGACTCTCAATCACTGCACCACCAGGGAAGCCCACATATAAAACATTTTTATATTTACTGTGAGTTTAATCTTTCTGCTGGTCACATCAACTCACTCTCAGTCCCCTTTGCTAGCATGCTCCCTCTGTCTTCCTGAAGTTATTTTTTGGTCTGCCTTTGTTCCTCACAGAGCTTTGTGATGGAGTGGAGATAGGGCAGAAGTGTGTGGGGCTGTGTGGGACCATGACACTGAGCTCATCAACTCTGCTTTTTCCATTGCTCTCCTGCTCACTTCTTTTTATGTCTGTTCCTTCTTCTGTCTTTGGGTTTTAATATCATATTCTTAAATTTCAAAGCTGAACATACTCATTTTCAAATTTCTGTCTATTTCCATTAAAATGAAGACCTTTATGTTTTGTTTTTGTGTTTTGTGTTCCTCAAAGCTCGGGAGAGAAATAACATTATTTACACTTGGGTTTTCTCTTAGAGTTTGAAATTAGACCCAAAATGAAAGAATTAGCTCCACAGAAGAGCATTTCTGAAGAAGTAATACTCCATAACATAATAGTATACTTAATTTTTGAAGACTGGAAACTTGAAGATGAGATAAATTACCAGGAAAACCAAGACAAGCTTTTGAATCAAGTTACATTTATTAACAATAAGTCACTGACTGAGGAGATAGACCAAGAATATAATGCACTGTGGAAAGTAGTTCATCTGAACAGAACATTTAATGAACACATCAGAGCCTTCATACATAAGTCTCACCTCTCTGCACAACCAAAATCTCTACCAAGTGAAAAATATAAATGTATTCAGTGTGGGAAAGCCTTCAGTGGAAAGTCAGGACTTATTGTACATCAGAGAATTCATACTGGGGAAAAACCGTACAAATGTAATGACTGAAAAAGCCTTTATTCAGAAGTCACAGCTCACTGTACATCAGAGAACTCATACAGGAGAGAAACCCTATGAATGTAGTGAATGTGGAAAAGCATTCATCCAGAAGTCAAACCTCTTTATTCATCAGAGGATTCACACAGGGGAGAAACCCTATGAATGCAATGAATGTGGGAAGGCTTTCATCAAGAAGTCAACACTTAGTGTTCATCAAACAGCTCATACGGGGGAGAAACCATATGAATGTGATGAATGTGGAAAAGCCTTTATCTGGCGGTCACAGCTCATTGTACATCAGAGAATTCATACTGGGGAGAAACCCCATAGATGTAGTGAGTGTGGAAAAGCCTTCAACAGGAAGTCAGAACCAAGTGTGCATCACAGAATTCATACTGGAGAGAAACCCTTTGAATGTAATGAATGTAAAAAAGCCTTCATTCAGAAGTCAGATCTCATTGTACATTAGAGAACTCACACTGGGGACAAAAGATATCAATGCAATGAATGTGGGAAAGCCTTCATCCGGAGTTCACAGTTCACTGAACATCAGAGAATTCATACTGGGGAGAAACCCTATGAATGTAGTGAATGCAGAAAAGCTTTTATCCGGAAATCACAACTCATTGTGCATCAGAGAATCCATACTGGGACAAAGCCATATGAATGCACTGAGTGTGGAAAAGCCTTTAGCAAGAAGTCACACCTTACTGTACATCATAGAATACATACTGGAGAAAAACCCTATGAATGCAGCCATTGTAGAAGAGCTTTCAGCAAGAAATCTACTCTCATTGTTCATCAGAGAATTCATATTGAACAGAAACACTTTTAATGGAGTGAGAAAACTTTAATTCAGTGATCAAAATTTCATTACACTTCATAGAATTCATATAGGTTAGAAACTCTATAAATGTACTAAACATGGGAAGCTTCAACAATAGTTCCAGAACTATTAAGCATCAGAAGATTCATACTAAGAAGATCTTTGAAAAATCATGTTTCCCAAAAACAACATATATATTGGACATCTTTGTTGAGATCTAAAAGTTTTTATAAGTGTACTAGAAAAATCTCAATTACACATGATTGACTTGTTTGCTGTGAAGTACACATTTTTTTAATGAGTAAGTAAATTGATTTACCATGACAATAAAATGACAATGATATGTAATCATTCTGCAAGTGATCTAAGAATGGCATTTAAACCCAAATTATCTGTTGGTTAGAAGTGAATATGGATATTTACACCTGCCTTGCTCTTTCACACTAAAACAGGGGTCCCCAACTTTTTTGGCCAGTTTCGTGGAAGACAATTTTTCCATGGACCTGGGGCAGGGGGATGGTTTCAGGATGATTCAACCACATTACATTTATTGTGCACTTTATTTCTATTATTGTTACATTGTAATATATAATGAAATAATTATAGAATTCACCAGAATGCAGAATCAGTGGGAGTCCTGAGCTTGTTTTCACTTGCCACTCACTGATAGGGTTTTGATATGAGTCTACAAGCAATGGATTTATTATGGACTGTGTGCAGTCAAACCTCTCTGCTAATGATAATCTGTATTTGCAGCTGCTCCCCAGTGCTAACATCACCACCTCAGCTCCACCTCAGATCATCAAGCATTAGATTCTCATAAGGAACATGCAACCTAGATTCCTTGCATGCACAGTTCACAGTAGGGTTGAAGCTCCTATGAGAATCTATTGCCACTGCTGATCTGACAGGAGGCGGAGTTCAGGCAGTAATGCAAGTGATAGAGTGAGGCTGCAAATACAGATGAAGCTTCACTCACTCCCCTGCCCCTCACCCCCTGCTGTGCGGCCCCCATTCCTAACAGGCCATGGACTGGGTACCTATATCCTGTCCCTCCATTATGTTGACTTAATTAACAAGAAACATGCATTTTAAAGGGATTATTAGATTCCATGTTCTTATATGTAAGAGCTGTCGGAAGATATTATATATTTTTTGAGATATTTATTCAGGGATATCTGTTTTGCTGCCCTGTAAATTTCCTCATGACCAGCCTAAACATTAGAAATTTTACTATTATTTTCTAGTTCATTTGAAAAAATATTCTTTGTTTTGTTGGGTTGTCATTTTATTATCACAAATAACTTTTCTTCAAATCCAGTCATTATCCAAGGCATACTTTCCTTTTAGAAACACAATAACCTAACCTTATATAAGTATTCATTGTCAAGTAATATTATGAAAAGAGGGATTGATATCTAAAAACCTTTTAAAACTTTTCTTTTCTTTTCTTTTCTTTTTTGCAGTACGCGGGCCTCTCACTGTTGTGGCCTCTCCCGTTGTGGAGCACAGGCTCCGGACGCGCAGGCTCAGCGGCCATGGCTCACGGGCCCAGCCGCTCTGCGGCATGTGGGATCTTCCAGGACCGGGGCAAGAACCCTTGTCCCCTGCATCAGCAGGCGGACTCACAACCACTGCGCCACCAGGGAAGCCCTAAAACTTTTCTTGAATGAAGGTAAAGCTGATATACTGCATTGAACTTGATCCTAAATTTTTTTTTTTTTTAAAGAAGATGTTGGGGGTAGGAGTTTATTAATGTATTTATTTTATTTTTGCTGTGTTGGGTCTTTGTTCCTGTGCGAGGGCTTTCTCTAGTTGCGGCGAGCGGGGGCCACTCTTCATCGCAGTGCGCAGGCCTCTCACTATCGCTGGCTCTCTTGTTGCGGAGCACAGGCTCCAGACGCGCAGGGTCAGCAGTTGTGGCTCATGGGCCTAGTTGCTCCGCGGCATGTGGGATCTTCCCAGACCAGGGCTTGAACCTGTGTCCCCTGCATTAGCAGGCAGATTCTCAACCACTGTGCCACCAGGGAAGCCCCCTAAATTTTTTTATATCAAATACTTCTTTCTTAGGTTTTTAAAGGAAAAATCATGCTTTAAAATTGAAATTAGTGAATAACAACCATGATTATTAATTTAAATTTTAAAATATTTAAGCTTTCAAATAATGATTTTAAACTAAAAGAAGTAAATTGCAGTCATGCAATTTTTTTATTAGTTATTTTTGAAGATCTGGGATATAAATGTATGCAATTAATTTTCTAAACAAACATATCAGCAACTAAAATATCCATGTGTGTTTTGCCCTTTAGTGTCGTCATCTTGGAACCTATTTAATAATGCAAGTTGTTCAGTCACCGGTAATTTATGGAGTCCCTATCTTTTAGAATTTCCTTCAGGTCCAGCTTACATGTTAGGTCTCATATGAAACCAAGTAATATTTTCAGAGAGTCTTAGTCATTATAATTCATTGTCTTTCTAGCCCTTCCTTATCCCTCCCCACTCTCAACCCATTAATTCTGTGCCTGACTTCAGCAAGGAAAAAGCTCATACCCTTTCTATAATCATTTCAAGTCTCAGATCCTTAGAAGATTCAATATCTTTATTTTCACATTTTGGCCTTCTACTTCATGGTTTCCTACCTGTACCTGGTATTGCCATGAACATTGAACAGGCCTGAAATTCCTTTACTTTTTTACTTGCCTTCTAATATTTTTGACGTCTGACCCTAGTTTCTTCTCTTCTCTTTAAAACGATACTTCATACTGCTTCCTTTCTACTTCATTAGTATTACTATTACTAATAGATATTTATTAGGCACTATGAGTCAGATACTATCTTGTTTTAAACAACTGGAACTTGAGAGATTATACAAGAAACCATGACTCATACCCAAGGACTTGGAAACATTACAATATACATAAATTCTTAGATATTTCAAAGTTTTCAGGCAGAGTTAAAAATGGAAACTACCCTAATAATAATATGGTTTAAAATGGTTTGCAAATTAAATGATTAAAATGTTAATCGTGAATGCCATTCATTGAGATACTCATGTGTATTTAAACTTTTAAATGCTGATAGTCACTCAAATGCTTAGGTATTATGTTTATTTCAACTTCAAGTTCTAATCACAGGTGAATACTTCACAGATGAATCTACCCTATTTCAGACATTCTTAGGGGCATAATAGATCAAAGGGGCATTATACAGGTGTGTCAGAGGTAAGATGGAAAGGAGTCAAACCATGGATTTTTTTTTTTTCTGGGAAGGTGAAGAAAATGGAATTTCAAAGCCCCTTTTCTGTTTTGTAGCATAGGTAGGGGTGAGTCACAAGAGAAATTAGAAAATATTTAGATAATACTGAAATGAAAACACAATCTATCAAAGTATTGGGGATGCCACTAGAGCAGAGCTTAAAGAGAAATTTATAGCTTTTAAGTGTTTTATTAGAAAAGAGATGACTAAAATTAATTATCTAAGCTTCCACCTTATGAAGTTAGGTATGAGCAAATGAAACTTAAATAAGTAGGAGAATAAAGTAATAAAGGTAAGAGCACAAATCAATGAACTAGAACTGGGGTCAGATTATAGGCCAAATTTAACTATATAACCATTATATTTATATTTCCATATAACCCTTAAACTTAGAATTATTTTTCATTTTTAGTGGGTTGTAAAATAAACACCTATAAAACAAAGAGTACAAAACAGATACCTTATATGGCCCATAAAACCTAAAATATCTACTATCTGGCCATTTACAGAAACTGTTTGCCAATTCCTGAACTGGAACCTACACTAACAGTAGAAAAAAGTCAATAAAAACAAAAGGTGGGGCTTCCCTGGTGGCGCAGTGATTGAGAGTCCACCTGCCAATGCAGGGGACACAGGTTCGTGCCCCGGTCTGGGAAGACCCCACATGCCGCAGAGCGGCTAGGCCTGTGAGCCATGGGCACTGAGCCTGTGCGTCTGGAACCTGTGCTCCGCAACGGGAGAGGCCACAACAGTGAGAGGCCTGCGTACCGCAAAAAAACAAAAACGAAAAACAAAAAACAAAAGGTGGTTCATTGAAATGATCAATGTAATTGATAAATCTTTGGATAAACTGATCAAGAAAAAGAGAAGGCCAAGACTTCCCTGATGGCACAGTGGTTAAGAATCCACCTGCCAACACAAAGAACACAGGTTCAAGCCATGGTCCGGGAAGATCCCACATGCCACAGAGCAACAAAGCCCATGCGCCACAACTACTGAGCCTGTGTGCCACAACTACTGAAGTCTGTGTGCCTAGAGCCCATGCTCCACAACAAAAGAAGCCACCGCAATGAGAAGCCCACGCACTGTAATGAAGAGTAGCCTCCACTCACTGCAACTAGAAAAAGCCTGCGCCCTGCAATGAAAACCCAACGGGGCTCAAAAATAAATAAATAAATAAATAAGTTTAAAAAAAAAGAAAAATAGAAGGCCAAAATTATGAATAGGAAATAAAGGAGATGACACCACTATCCTAGAATCAACAGGTAATAAGTAAGTTACTTATAACTTTTTTTCAAAAATTTGATGACTTAGATGAAATGGAAGATTTCCTTGAAATACATGTTACCAAAGCTGAGTAAAGAAG